CCCCCCCCCCCCCCCCCCGTGCGCTGGCCAGCCCCCAGCACCGGGCCACCGGCGGCGCGGTGCCCCTCTGCCGGCTTCCCTTGGCCATATCCCCTAACCCCCTCCCGGCCACATGACCATGGCCAACATGTCTGCCCCTAGGATGGCGCCTATGCGCTGCTCTTCAAGAGCTCGCACTTCCCGGATGAGATCATCGCCACCCGGCGGGGCAGCCCCCTGCTCATTGGGCTGAAGAGCGCCCAGCCCCTGCGCGCCACGCACGTCGGTGTGGACGTCGACGTCGGGGCCCCGCAGCACCCGGCTCTGCACATGCCGACGGCGCGTGGCCCCGGCGGCCCGGGGCACGCCCTCTCGCCGCTGCGGGATTCGCTTCCCCTGCTGGCGGCCGACGCGCGGCCGCTGCCGGTGGCCGGTGCCCCGGTGGCCGGCCCTCGGCACGGCCTCCTGCCCGGGGCCGGGGATGCGCCGGTCCCCGGGGCCACGCACATGTCGGCGCCGGCCAGCCGGGCCTCGGGTCTGCCGCCGGCGGCCGCCGGGGCCGCCCCTTCGGCCCATGCCCGGCCGTCCCCCGGGCTGGGGCGCTCGCTCAGCTCGGAGTCCCTGTCGCAGCACCCGTCCGATGTGGCCAGCAGCCCGCTGCTGCATCAGCTGGTCGCGTCGGCCCCGATGCCCGAGCTCCTGAGCCCCGGGTCGATCGAGTACTTCATCGCCAGCGACCCGGCGGCCATCGTCGAGCACACCCGCAGCGTTTTGTACCTGGAAGATGGCGACGTGGCGCACATTCGCAAGGAGGGTACGGCCTGGGGCCTCTGCCCGCCACGCTCGCCACTTGCCTCCTGCCCGGCCAGCCCCCTCGGATGTGCTGGCCTGCCGGCTGGCTGCTGACCGTCAAACATCCCTCGCACCGTCTTGCGGCCCTCCGCTCCCCCCCCCCCCCACACCCCCTGCGGCTGTTGCGCGCCCCTGTCGGACCTGGGGGCATAGGCATCAACATTGTCCGGACCACGCGCTCGACCGAGCTGTCGCCCGTGCGCGCCATCCAGTCCCTGGAGCTGGAGCTGGCCCAGATCATGAAGGGCAGCTTCCCGCACTTCATGCTGAAGGAGATCTTCGACCAGCCATCCTCCTCCTTCAACACCATGCGCGGGCGCATCAACTTCGACAGCTACACGGTCACGCTCGGCGGCCTGTCCTCGCAGATGGACACCATCCGCCGGAGTCGGCGCATTGTGCTGATCGGCTGCGGGACCTCCTTCCATGCGTGCCTGGCCTCGCGGGCCGTGCTCGAGGAGCTTTCCTCCGTGCCGGTGTACGCGGAGCTGGCGTCGGATTTTGTCGACCGCCGGCCGGTGATCTTCCGCGATGACACGTACATCTTCGTGTCGCAGTCCGGCGAGACGGCCGACACGCTGCAGGCCCTGCGCTATGCCAAGTCCCGGGGGGCCCTCTGCCTCGGCACCACCAACACGGTCGGGAGCAGCATCGCGCGCGAGACCACCTGCGGTGTGCACATCAATGCCGGGCCGGAAATCGGTGTCGCCAGCACCAAGGCCTACACCAGCCAGGTGATTGTCCTGCTGATGATTGCTCTGGTCCTCGGATCGGACAGCGTGGCCCTGGCGCCGCGCCGGCGGGAGATCATCGACGAGCTGCGGGTCTTGCCAGGTGCGTGGTCCTCGGGGGCCCCCTTGCGGCGCCCCATGCCCCCGCCCTTCGTGCGACTCTGTGGCGGCCTGTGTGGCGCCGATCTCGGCCACGGGGACATTGCGCTGACCAAGGACACACCACATCCTGCCACGGCACCCGGGGCGGGGGCCTCACTGGCTGACCCGCGCACGTGCATACACACACACACATGCATGCATGCATGCATGCATGCCTCCACCGGATTTTGGACCCCACTCCCCCTCGCTTGCTGCGGGGCTCCCCTGCCACACTCTAGACAAGATTGCTGAGGTGCTCAAACTCAATGAGGAGCTCGAGAGCCTGACCGAGCACAAGCTCCTGAAGGCCACCAACCTTGTGCTCATGGGCCGCGCATTCCAGCATGCCACCTGCCTCGAGGGGGCCCTGGTACGTGGCGACACCATCGGCGCCGCATGTCACTGTTCTCGGTCTTGGGGGGGGGGGGGGGGGCTTTTTTCTCCCCGTCCGCTGCTCCCTTGCCTCTGCCATGGCCACTGACCACGCATTGCCACGTCTTTTTGGCAGAAAATCAAGGAGATCGCGTACCTTCACAGCGAGGGTGTCCAGTCGGGCGAGCTGAAGCACGGCCCGCTGGCCCTGATCGACGAGCATCTGCCCATTATCTCCATCGTCGTGCCGGATGCCTTCCTCGAGGTGCGCCCCTTTCTGCCCCCCTCCTCCAACGTGCAGACATGCTTGCAGTGGGGAGGAGGGAGGTAAAATCGCCGGCCACCGCCTCCCCTCTCCTCGGGCGTGTTCCCTTTCCCCCCTTCCCCTGCACCTATCTAACAGTCGGGGGTCCCTCCCTTCGGAATGCATGCACCCGTGCATGGTCTTGTGCATGCTGTGCCCTGCACCCCCCCCCCCCCCCCCGATGCCCATGGTGCCGCTCGAATGGCGACACGGAATGTGACACGCGCAGAAATCGATGAACGCCCTTTACCAGGTGACGGCGCGTGGTGGCCGGCCGATCATCATCAGCACCACCGATGTGGATCTGTCCTCGGTGCTGGCCGCGTCGGAGGCGACCGGCCAGGCGTCGGCCGCCGCGCACTCGGCCTCGACCGAGGCCCTGCCATCATCCTCGGGCGTGCTTCGGTCGCCGCGCGTCGGCGGCACTGGCGATCCCAGCCGAACGGCGCACCCCACCGGCACGGACATCACGCTGCCGGATGAGGACCAGCTGCTGGACCAGCAGCCCATCTCGCACAAGCTCCTGGCGGCCGCCGGCGGCCCGCTGCAGTGCATTCGGGTCCCGCGCACGGTGGACGTCCTGCAGGGGATTCTGACAGTCATCCCCCTGCAGCTGGTGGCCTACCATCTGGCAGTCAAGCGCGGCTTCAATGTGGATTTCCCCCGGAACCTGGCCAAGAGCGTCACCGTGGAGTGAGCCGCTCTCCTGCCTGGGGGCCTGCCTTGCCTCCGATGGCCGGGGGGCGGGCGGGGGGCCTTCGCCTGGGAGGGTGCCACGCCGCCACCATGCGAGGCCGCATTCATTTGTGGTTGCGCGTGTGTGTATGTCCATCTGCGCACGTGCACACACACGCACACACACAGAGACGCGTACTGTGCGCCGTGTCTTCCCGGAACAAAGCGAGTAAGTGTGAGACAGAATGGTGCGGCAGCCGGTCACGGAGATGGCGGACAAGTTGTTCCCCATACGTGCATGTGTGCCCTTGCACATTCCGACTCTTGTGCTGCCTCCCCTCTGTCGTTGCCTGCCCTTCGCCGGGTCCCGTACTTTGGGCGCGGCTCCCCGCGGCCGGATTGCACCAGGCAAGGCAGCTCAATCGAGGGCGGAAGAGACAAACAGGGAGAAAGGGAAAAAGAGCCCGGGAGAACCACCTGTCCATGTGGGCCCTGCCACCCCTTTCGGAGCCAGCACCAAGAGCCGCCTCCTCTCTTGCCTCTCGGGGTCGCCGATCTCCGGGAAGGCACCATGCGCTCCCGAGCATGCACTCTGTGCTGGCGCTGTCAGAAGAGCACGAAAATAAAACCATACATCCCCAACACAGCGACGCATGAAATCAAGGGGAGGAGTCTATTGAGAGGGGGGAGACAGGTGCACACCCAGCGCGTGGGAGGGCTCAGAGACAGGGGGAGAGAGCTCTATTACCCATGCGCGTGGCTACCCATCAAGGGGGGAGGGGGGGGGGGGTGGGAGCTGTGTGTGTGTGTATGTGTGGAGGTGGGGCGAATGAGACCGCCTGGGGAGATTACAGCCGCCGGATGGAGCGGAGGCGCCTGTGCATGGCACCAGGACGAGCAGCGTGCAATGTGTGGCGGAACACACACACGTCAGTCAGGCAGAAAGGCAAGCGCCAGCACATCCGGGCCAAAGGGGCAACAGGGGGCGAGGAGGAAAACGCACCGGAACCGCACGGAGCCGGTACCACTGACATTAGGGAGGGGGGCGCTGGCCGCCAGCTGCGACGCCGGGGTCGAGGAGCTGCCAGACGGCTCGACCAGGTAAGATAGCTGCACGCATGCCAGAGGGGGGAGGGGGGGGGGGGGGATCGTCAGGCTTCGCGCGAAGGGCACACCAGTGGCGGGACACGTGCCCCAGGGCAGCGGCCATCGCCGAGGGAAGGCAGCACACGCACCGCGAACAGGATGTTGGAGAAGTCCTCCGTCCGGAGGGACTCCAGGGAGAAGTTGGTATCCGAGCCGGGAACCAGGCGTTGGGCAACCAAAGCCCGAGCAGCCACCGACGGCCGGTCGCCCGCCATCAGTGACGGATCGGTGAATGGCTTCAGCAGGTCCTGGATGGAGAAAAGGGGCGGGACCTCCGGCGCGGCCTCGCCCCCGGGGCCGGCCTTGGTTGAGGCCAGCGGAGCCGGCAGGAAGTCCGACAGGTCCGGCCAGCGGAGGGAGAACCAGTCCATGGTGGGGGTCGGCACCTGGGCCGGGGAGGCATCGGCCTCATGGCCGGGGGCCTCCTCATTGGCCGGGACCATCATGAAGGACGTCATGAAGTCCCGGCTCCCAAGGGCCACCTGGTGAATGAGGATCTCCGACCGGAAGACATGGGCCAAGTCCAGGAGCTTGGACCAACGGATGACCGGCCCGTCAGCAAGATCGCCCGCGGTGCCGGGGCCCGCATGGCCCTCCGGGCAGGGGCACAGGAAGAGCCCCGCATCGCCGGTGGCCGCCGTGGCCGCCCCCCCCGGGGGGCCTGGGACAGCGTCGCCCGAGGCCGGCCCCAGCCCGGGAAGCAGGAGATCCTGCGACTCGCGGGTGATCGGCAGCCGGGCCAGGCTCCGAGGCACGGGGCAGGTGCCCAAGTCGGTGACAGCCGGCACCGGGCGCGGTGGCAGCCACGAAAGGGACCGCTCGTGCAGCGAGGTCAGCCGGCCCAGCAGCGAGCCGATGTACGGGAGCGCCGGCGCATGGACTTGGCGCACCGGGTGCGCCAGAGCCGGGCTAGTGTGCGCTTGGAGGAAGGCGCCCTCCTCCTCGCGCAGGGCCACCTGGCTATTGAGTGACAGGAGATTGCGGTACATCTGGTAGTTGCGTCGCGAGGAGAGGTGCTCCCCGAGGTAGGCCCACAGGGCGGTGGCCTCCGGCGACAAGCCAGCCCACAGGGACTGCAGCCGGTACACCGGCTGCAAGGAAAGCCCCGCGTAGATGGCCAGGCTAGGCGCGGAGACCCGGCAACCGATGTGAGTGAGGCAGTGGGGGAGGAGAAAAAAAAAGGCCGATGGCCGGACAGGAGCAGCGACAAAGGCATGAGACATAAGCAGCGGACATGGACCACCCCCCAGGGACAGCCGGCGGCACGAGACAGAGAGGAAACACCCAAAGGGGCGACCGAGGGGGCCCGCACCTGACAAAGTAGTTACGCCAGCACGCCGCCAGGTAGGACAGCTGGATGAAGAGCCCCAGCACAAAGGACCCATACGAGGCATCGATCGGCGTGGGGGCAGAGGAGCCGGGAGCCACGGCCGGCGACACCGGAGTCGGCGGCGAGGAGGGCGGGGCATCGACCACCACCGACGCGGTGCTTGCGCCGGCGGCGCCGGCGCCGGCGCCGGCGGCAGCGGTAGCAGCATTGGCCGATGCTGGCGCCGGGGCCCACGCCGGGAGGGCCAGCTCACTGAGAGACAGCCAGGCTTGGGTGGCGCCGTCCGGCAGCGAGCGCGGCTGGCTCGGGATCCCGGACCACAGGGAAAGGGCGCTCATGCTGTTGGGGCAGGAAAGCCCAAACCCACTGACTGAAGGCATGCTGCCGGTCGGGCTCGACGAAGAGGACGACGACAGCGAGGAGGTGGCCGACCCACCGCGCGGGGAGAGCAGCTGCTCCGCCGGCGCCGGCGGCCCGGCCGTCAGGGGCGATGTCGGCACCGCGATGGTCGACCGGCGCTTGGAGGAGAAGGAGAAGGACCGCTTGCGACGGGCGCCGGCGGCCCCGCCGCCGGGGCCCCCGCCCCCGCCGCTGCTGCCGGCTCCCGCCTGCCCGGAACTCAGGGCCGCCAGCAGAACCTCATGCGCCACCCACTGGGAGATGCGATTGAAGAGACTCGTCAGCCGAGCCAAGGCCGGCGGCATGGGGATGTAGTCCGGGCTCGGCTCGTCGGTCGGCGGAGGGGCCCCCGGCCCGGGGTCGGAGCCAACATCCGGCGCCGGGGCACCGGCCTCCGGCACCAGCCACGATGCCCGCTCGGCCGGGAGGTGGAAGCCACACTCGCGCGCCAGCGCCACCAGGGCCGGCCACTCGCCGATGTTGTGCTCTGCTGCCTCGGCGGCGGCGGCGGCGGCCGGCGCAAGGACCGTGACCGTGGGGCCGGTCCCGGGCCCGGGGGCCACGGCCGCCAGCCCGAAATCCGGCGACGCCACCTTCCCCAACAGGCGGTAGGACAAGTCGGCCGGCGTGACGGCCGCAAAGAGGTCCGACGTGGCCACGGTCAGCTCGCGCAGCACATCCAACAAGTGCAGGGTACATGTCTGCAGCCCGGCGGTGCCGGTGCTGAAGGAGAAGGAAGTCAGCCGGAAGGGCGACATGCGGAGCGGCTCGGCCAGGGGGTGCGGCGGCAGGCCAAACGGCCCGGCCGGCATGGCCGCCGCCGGCACCCCCTGGCCGCTGAGCTCGATCGACGAGGTGGAGGTCGAAGTGGAGGCCGACGCCGAGACCGAGGCAGACGTGGAGGCAGATCCAGACAACGAGGCGGGAGACCGCAGCATGGCCGTCGGGTCCGGCTCGTCGAAGATGATCTGCGACAGGCGCTTGGTCCGGATGGACAGGAAGTTCGGCCGGCGCTGGGCCACCGACCCCGGGGGCGCCGGGGGACGCCCGGCATCGGTGGGCCCGAGCGCCGGCGACACCGACCGGCTGCCATGGCCGCCGGCCACCGGGGCCCCGGCCGAGACGCCCTCCTCCCCGGAGGAGGTGGTGCTGAGAGACAACGTGGACAGGGCACTGCCGCCGGAGGCCGGGGCAGGGTCCTCCTCGCCGAGCATGTGCCCGGGCCCGGGCGCCGAGCCGGCCGCACACACCGACAGGGTGATCGAGGGATTGGCACGCATGTCCACCCGGGCGAGGTCCAGCCCGGCGTGCAGAGATGCCGGCCGGTCGCCCGGCAGGCCGGGAGGCGTGCCATGCATCGGCGAGGGGACCTTGGTCGGCTCGAAGTCGGCCATCTCGTTGAAGGTGGTGGAGGTGCCGCTGCGCAGGGGCCCGGCGGCCGTGCCGGCGCCACTGCCAGCAGAGCCCTCCTCCCCGGAGGGGAGGATGGTGGAGGCCGGACGGCCGCCCCGCAAGGCCGCCGGGCCCAGATGCAGCAAGGCCGAGGGGGAGGAGCTGGAGCGCGACCGTGGCAGGAAGAAGGCCGGCTGAGAGCCGGATGGCGAAGGGGGCACCGACAGGGAGGGCAGCATGGAGGCGGTGCTGCCGAAGGCAGTGCCACTGGCGCCGGAGGCCACCGAATCACAGGAGAGGCTCGAGGTGGAGCGGTTCATGCGCAGGGGGAAGCTGTTCATCGGGCAGTGGATGGCACCGGTCGAGGGGGCGGCCCCGGCCATCGAGGCAGGCTGCTGGGGGGCCCGAGGGTCGGAGGGGGCCTGCGGCCCGGGCCGCGGCCCCGGGGCCAGGGCCACATGCGACCCGAGCACCGTCGGCAAGCAGCGGGCATCGGCCAGACCGGCCGCATGGGGGTCCTCACTGAGGCCGGCCGCCTGGCGGTGATGCAGGCAGACCGTCTGCAGGAAGACCCGATGATTGGACGTGATCAGGGCCGGGGAGGCGGTGAAGCGGTAGCCCGGCCGGGCGGCGGCCACGGCGCGGCCCAAATCCCGGATGGACTCCAGCAGGGCCGCCGCCAGGGCAGATGCCCCGGTCAGCGAATCGGCCACCGACATGTGGAGCGCATCCACCGATGCCGACAACAAGCGCAGGAGCTGGGGATCGGCATCGAAATCGTAAAAGTGCGCCTCGACCCAATGCGAGAG